TTACAAAGTCAAGGAATAAAAGCTAAATTAAAGTCGAAAACAGAAAAACCCAAAGCAAGAATAACTTAGTTGCACAGACAGCTTTTCTCCAACGCAGACGTGGCCCCATGTAGCTGCCCCCGTCGCTTAGGTCAGGGAGCAACGGTAAGGAATGGGACCCCTCTGCATACGGCCATAACATATGACTGTTTCTAAAACTTTCCCCAGGAAATTCACCTTCCTCATTTTGCTTTTTAAGTCCGTTTTTAAGGCATAAGAGCAAACAGAGTGGAGAGAGATGTTGGGTGAGAGCAGAAAGGAAAATCAGCCAGCAGGAGAATATACAGTTTATTAAAAATGATCTATACTCAAGTACTCAGAAGTTGAGAACCTATCAAAAAGAATTACTATTAGTTAAAAGTTAGACTTAATCTGTTACATAAACTAAGACTTAATACCTGGATATTTCCGTTTAAAGGAGGTCACACCCAAATATTCACTGACTTGTTCTTGAAGCATATAGTATTCTCCTGTTTCATCAGGTGGCCATTTGTACTCTATCAAATTTTCTGCTGGATAGTAGCTAAAGCTAAGCACAAAAATATGTATTATGCCTTAAATGTGGCTTGTATTAAATTTTAACCATTTTTATTTTAAGGATTTATTTTTGAGGGGTTTTATTTTTAAGAATTTTGTAGAACTACTTTATTTAAATTCCCAGTCTTCTGACTCTGCCATACAAACAACTTCCCAATTGTCCAAGAACACCCAAAAACAGGCAGAGGGAAAGGAAGCAAGGGTGTGCGATACCAAGCAAAACAGTAGCAGGAACACGTGCACACAACCCAAAGAACCAAGACTCACAACTGTCCGCAGTAAAGGAATCCGGTAGTGTACGAGATCTAGAAGGCCAGAACAGGGTGGGGATATCCTTTCTGAATCCCCTCTCTTGGGCTTCACGCGCATACACACTAGTTCATCCGCCTGAGGTACCAACTCACTTCCCATCTGCTGTTCAGTGAGTCAAAACAGCTAAGAAAGCAGAACTTCAAAAACCTGTTTCTCATTGAGCTGAACTACAAACCACAGTTATTTGTTCTCATAGACTACCCAAGGCCAGAGGAGAGAACAGAACTAGTCTGATGGAGCCAGTGTACTGCCGACCAATCCCAATCCTGAGAAGCTGACTACGCATTTCTGGACCTGGACAATTCAACCTCTAAATCTCATCAGTGGACAGCACAGGCAAGAACGTGACATTACTTAATACGTCCAATTAAAAATAACAACCAAAAAGAGTTTTCTCAAAAACAGTGGTGGGAAATTAGATAGATATCCCAAAGCAAAAATAAGAAGTTGGACCCTCACTTCCTATCACATTCAAAAATAGATCAACAACCTCAATGCAAGAACCAAACCAGAAAAGTCTTAGAAAACACAGGAGTAACTCTTCAGGATCTCAGATTTGGCAACTGTAGACATGACACCAAAAGCATGAGCAACAAAAGAAAAACAGATTATTTGAATTTCAACAAAATTAAAAATTTTGTTTACCAAAGGACTCTATCAATCAGATACTTTTACTCTATCGGAGTAAAAAGGCAACCCACAGAATAGGAAGAAAAAATGGCAAATCCTGTACTTTAAGTGGTTAGTAAGTAGAATGCATACAAAAACTCCTACAACTCAAAAACAACACCCAACTTAAAAATGGCGAAAACACTTGAAGAGACATTTCCCCCAGAGATTCACAAATAAGTCTGACAAGATGGTCAACACATCACTAGTCATTATGGAAAGTCAAATGGAAAGGACAGTGAGATGCCACCTCACACCCCTTAGGACGGCTCTTACCAAAAAGACTGGGGCACAAGCACCGGGGAAGGACATGACCCAGTGGACACCGTGTCCCACTGGCAGGAAGGGAAACCGCTGCGACCACCGCGAAAGGTCCCCAAAGCGCGACACGCAGAGAGTCCTGTCAGATCCAGCTGCTACTCTCCGAGGGACACACCCAAAGGAACTGAAACCAGGGACTGACCAGACATCCACACACCTACGTCACCGCAACCCTGTTCCCAACAGCCCAAAGCGGGAAACAACCCAGGCCCGTCCCCAGAGGGAAGGACATACGAGAGCTGCTATGTCCCCCCCACAGAGCACAGTTCAGCCCTGAAGAGAAATTCTGACATACACTACAACATGGATGAGCTTTCAAGGAATCATGTGGAAAGAGGCCAGACATGGAAGGGCAAATACTGTAGGACTCCACCTACGTGAGGTGCCCTACGTCACACGGAGAGGGGGACAGGGGCTGCCAGCCGTGGGGAAGGAGGGAATTGGCAACTGTCACTGCTTCATGGCTAAGACCTTTCCACACAGTAGTGAAGCGTTCCGGAAGGGTGCAGGTGGCAGCTGAAGTGCCGGGGAGGAGGGAGGTATCGCAGAGGAGAGAAATATACCACAACTACTATTAAGCAATAAAATGACAGTACCCAAGATCTTGACTTGAAGTCTCACAACTCCTAGAGCTATCTCCTGAGCCCATTCGCCTCCTTTTGGATGGTTGGGTCCCATCATTTGAATTATCTTCATTATCATCCTATACATTCAAAAAATTCAAAACATAAGAAGAGAAACAATAAAAAATAAGAATGATTATGTATCTTCCCAGGCTTGCTACAAGGCTCCACTTAAAGGTTCTTTAATGACAAATGATTATACAAATGTTAACTTTCTATTATAACTAAGAAGGGCCAAGATTTTGGCATGGCAAGCCCTGAAAAAAAAATCTAAAAAAAACTAAAAAGTGATCTTTTATACAATCAAAATAAGAAAAATCACAATTAACCTGTAAATGTAAATCTACTTTTCCTTTCTTAGCAACTAGTTAAAATGCCATGTACTTTAAAAACAAACATGTAAAATTGCTGTTAACACTCTTAATATTAAAGCAAACCCTCCTAACCCAGTTAGGAAAAAAACGTGTAGATCATTTCATGTTTAACTCAACTGCTAGGGAGTTGATAGGACTATTCTAAAGGAGTCCTATATACTTCTATTTCCATGAAAAAAGAAAATACAAAGACTAAAAACAGGTTACCAACCCTGTTAGTTTTTTTCTTACATCGCAAAAATTGAGCAAAAATATTCCCTAGTAAGATTCATCAATCGATACAGCAAGAGACGCGCATCCCCACCAAAAGAGGAATGGCTTAAGCAGTTTTAGGTGACATTATCTGTGGTGAGGCATTAATACCAAGACTCTAGTTGGGCCATTCCATTCAGAACATAAGTGAGCCATCTCAGATGTTAGCAAATTGACTTATTCACATTACTAGCTAACGCTTAATGACCATAAGGTGTACGAAAATAACTGAAACAAAAAAAAAATCAATTAAATGTAGATTTGTAAGGTGAATACAATTTTGTTAAATAGCACGGTCTTCTTGCTACATGTTAAAACGAACCCAATCCAGCAGAGTACAAGGCTGGCCCGGCACCGTCCTGGGCGCTGGCCTCCACCAGCTGAGCCTGTGCTGAGCCTCCTCCCCTTCGTAACATTGAGGCGATAACGCGGCCTCATGACGTGGCTAACGCAAGGATTAAAGGAGTTAGACACGCGGGAAGCGCTCAGAGCAGGGCCTAGCGGGTCATGGACCCGTGACGACAACCAGAAAGTCCCAAACGGCTCCGCTACTAGGAACTGACTCCGATTCTTTCTCAAATTGTGTGTGTGTGTGTGTATGTATGGCCTGTTGTCCTTTTTAGCTCCTGTATAATAATCAAAAAACTGCCTATTCCCATTAAGAAAGGCAACCAGGGGGATCCCCGGGTGGCTCAGTGGTTTAGCGCCTGCCTTCGGCCCAGGGCGTGATCCTGGAGACCCGGGATCGAGTCCCACATCGGGCTCCCTGCATGGAGCCTGCTTCTCCCTCTGTCTGGGTCTCTGCTTCTCTCTCTCTCTGTATCTCTCATGAATAAATAAATAAAATCTTAAAAAAGAAAGAAAGAAAGAAAGAAAGGCAACCAGGTAGGAGATGGAGAAGAGAATAAATGTTATTCTCCAAAAATGTGCATTTAACAGTAAGAATCAGAATGGCGACAATACGATTTCGGGAATAACTCCCTTTAATAAGCAAATTCAGGTATTACGGTTTTGTTTTGCTTTTTGTTTGTTTTTTGGTTTTTGCCGTTTTACTCACGACTAAGCATTTTAAGGACTTTTAGGTTTATATATTTCCTTTGCTTTAAAAGTTGAAATACCCCCAAAAAAGGTAACGTGCAAAGTCCTGAGAAATAGTCGCTGGGACGAGGGCGGGGGCCCGCACAGGTGCGCGGGGGGGGCCGTCCCGCCGCGGCCACAGGTGGGCTCCCGCCGCAGGTGCGACCCCGCGACCCCGCGCCCCCGCGCCCGCTTCCGGGGCCCCTGGGCCCAAGCCCCGACTGCCCGCACGCGGCCGCTCCCCCCGCGCAGCCGCCCCCGCCGCCCCGGGACCCAGTTTCCAACTAAGTTCCCGGGGCTGCCGGGCGGCAACGCGGGGTCCCGGCCGCCCCGGGGTCACCCCCGCCCCGCCCCGCCCCGCCCCGGGGCCGGTCTCCCCGCCGCTGCCCGGACGCCGCCGCCGCGAGGCGCGCTCCGAACCCCCGCGGCCGCCCCGCCGCCCCAGAGCCCGGGCCTCGGCGGCCGCGGCCTCCGCTCCCCCCGCGGGAGCCCCGCCCCGCCCCGCCCGGCCCCGCTCCTCACCTTCGGGGACGGCGCTCCGGGGGTGGCCGGGTCGCTGTCGCACGGCCGCGGGGACAGCGCCGCCCCGGGCCCGGCCGCCGCCGCCATCAGCCCGAGCGCCCCGCGCCGCCGCCGCCGCCGTCGCCGCCGCCTCGTCCCGGCCGCCGCCGCCGCCGCCGCCGCCGCCGCGCGGGCCGCCCGCCGCCCGGGCCCCGCCCCCTCCGCCCGCCCGCCGCCCGGGGGCCGGCCCCTGCCTCCGCGCGCCCCGCGGCCCGCCAGCGCCGCCGCCACCGCCATGGCCGCCGCCAGCGCGCCTCCCGGGCGCCGCGGCTCAGGGGGCGGAAGGAGGCCGCCGGCCGCCCGCGCGCGTCAGCCCCGCCGCCCGCCCCGCTGCGGCGCCGGCCCCGGCCTCGGCTGGCCCAGCGCCCCGCGCCCCCGCCGGCCCTCAGCCCCCGCCGCCGGCCCTCAGCCGCCCGGTCCTCAGCCCCCGCCGCCCGGCCCTCAGCCCCGCCGCCCGGCCCTCAGCCCCCGCCGCCCGGTCCTCAGCCCCCGCCGCCCGGCCCTCAGCCCCGCCGCCCGGCCCTCAGCCCCCGCTGCCCGGCCCTCAGCCCCCGCCGCCCGGCCCTCAGCCCCCGCCCGCCCACCGCCCGCCTCAGCCTCAGCCGCCCGGCCCTCAGCCCCCGCTGCCCGGCCCTCAGCCGCTCCCGCCCCGCCGCCCGGCCCCGCGCCCCGCGCCGTCCTCCGGCCGCCGCCGCCGCCGCCGCCGCCACCCCACCTCCCGGCCCGCCGCAGCCCGGCGCGCTCCGCGGCCCCACCTCCCGCCGTCCCCTCAGCCCCCAGCCCCGCCCCGGCCCGCCGCCACTTGGCGCGCTCGCAGCCGCCCCCTCCCCGCGCCCCCGGCCCGGCCCCGCCGCGCGTCAGCCCTCTCCTCCCACCGCGCCCGCGCCGCCCCGCCCCCGCCCCGGGGTCCCCGCGGTCCCCGCGGTCCCCGCCGCCCCGCCCCAAGCCCTGGGCCCCCCGCCCCCTGCTCCCGAGGGTCTCCGCCGACACGCCCTCCGGCCAGGGGCCCGCCCCCCGCCCGGGGGTCCCCGCGTCCCCGCGTCCCCGCGTCCCCGCGCCGCCCGGAGCGCCCTGCGGCGGGGGGCTGTCGCGGCGCCGGCCCATTTCCTGGCGCTCGGCCGGGCCCCCGCCCCTCGGGCGCCTTTGTTCTCCGCGGCTCCCGAGCCACCTGCCGGGGGGCGGGCGCGCGCCAACGACGCCCCGGGCTCCCCCGGGAGGCTGGGGCGGGGCACCCCCGACGTCCGACGGTGTGGCCGGGCCGGGACCAGCCCGCGCGCGGGGAATGTGCGCGGAACGTGCTCCGTGCGGCCGCCCGCGACCCCCTGGGAGGCGGCCCGGCGCCCTCCCGACCCCCGCGGCCTCGGGCTGCTCGGCGCGGGCGGCCAGACCCCGCTCCTCAGGGCGCAGGGCGCAGGGCGCAGGACGCAGGACGCCGGTCGGCCGTGCGGGACACGACCTGAGGGCGCGAGTTCTGTTGGGACTGACTTCGTGGTCGTAGTTCCCAGACTCCTGCCGCCCACGCTAGGATTCGTCACGCGGGAGGAAGGGAGCCTGCGAGGACCCGGCCCCTCGCTGTGACAGGAGGCCGCGGCCCGACGTGACCTCTGGCCCCGAGGTGGCGGAGCGGGACGGCGGAGCGGGGCCTGGTCACCGCGGGCCGCGCGCCTTCCCTCGCGTGACTCCCGCTTACGCTCAGCCCGCGAACGTTCGCTCGGGCGGGGACGGGGACGGGGACGGGGACGGGGACGGGCGACCCCAAGGGGTAAAGCACCTACTTTGCGGCGCCCGCCCACCCGCTCCCGACGCCCCCTCGCCGCTCGCCGCTCGCCGCTCGCCGCTCGCGAAGGCCGCCTGCCCCTCGGCTTTCACTCACCTCCGTCAGAGCGGCCGCCCGTTTCCCTGCTCACGGGAGCCAACGGCCTGGACCCACCGAAAAGAAACCAACAACGATCGTCCTCGCTGATCAGGGCCCTCGCTCGGACTCCAGACGGAGCGCACCGCTACGCGTACCCGCGTGTTCGGGAAGAGACCGAAGGCGCGACGCGTCCTACGACGGAACATCTGCGTTCGCTCGTTGCCGGCGCCTTTCTCCCCCGCGCACTCGGTCTCCGGGTCGGACACGCGTCTGGACTCTTCGTTCCAAGCCACAAACCCTGGCGGAGCCCTTCAACGGCCACGGCAAGCCACGCCGCGCACTGCGGAGGCACCCGGCGGACACAGGCCCGGCCCGGGGCACCCGGCGGACACAGGCCCGGCCCGGGCACCCGCGGACACAGGCCCGGCCCGGGGCACCCCGCGGATACAGGCCCGGCCCGGGGCACCCGGCGGACACAGGCCCGGCCCGGGGCACCCCGCGGACACAGGCCCGGCCCGGGGCACCCCGCGGGTACAGGCCCGGCCCGGGGCACCCCGCGGGTACAGGCCCGGCCCGGGGGCACCCCGCGGGTACAGGCCCGGCCCGGGGCACCCCGCGGGTACAGGCCCGGCCCGGGGGCACCCCGCGGGTACAGGCCCGGCCCGGGGCACCCGGCGGACACAGGCCCGGCCCGGGCACCCGGCGGACACAGGCCCGGCCCGGGCACCCGGCGGACACAGGCCCGGCCCGGGGCACCCCGCGGGTACAGGCCCGGCCCGGGGCACCCCGCGGACACAGGCCCGGCCCGGGGCACCCCGCGGATACAGGCCCGGCCCGGGGCACCCCGCGGATACAGGCCCGGCCCAGGGGTCGCTTCAACGCCAAAAGAACAGGATGCGATTATACGTGTTCAGAGGCAGTGTAGGGGCGCCCGGGGGCTGGGCGGCTGAGCATCTGCCCTGGGCTCGGGCGTGATCCCGGGGTCCGGATAGAGCCCCGTGTCCACGTCAGGCTCCCTGTGAGGAGCCTGTTTCTCCTCCGGCCTCTGTCTCTGCCTCTCCGTGTCTCCCATGAATAAATAAATAAGATCTTTAAAAATAAAAAGGCAATTTAGGTGGGAAAAACTTACTTGCAAGTACATTCAGATTTTAAAGTTGACCTAGAACTGGAAAGTATCTTAAGAGACTGATAGGAAAATTACAGGTAAATGTACAACTGGAAGTGGAAAAAGGATTTCAAGCCTGAAAAAGACTGAGAGGTGGAAAAGTAGGAAGTATGATTAGGCACATCAGCTATTCCACTGTGGCTTGAGGATAGGGTAAATGAAGGCAGATTCCAGGAGTTGGGGGTGAGATATACAGGCTGGTGGTACGATGCAATGGGGAGAACAAAGATCAAGAGTTAGGATTTTGGGGGCTCCTGAGTGGCTCAGTCGCCTGAGCATCCAACTTGCTTGTTCGTTCTTTCTTTCTTTCTTTCTTTCTTTCTTTCTTTCTTTCTTTCTTTCTTTCTTTCTTTTTCTTTCAAGATCATATCCATTTATTCATGAGAGACACAGAGAGGCAGAGGGAGAAGGAAGCTTCCCGTGGGGACCCCAATGTGGGACTCAATCCTGGAACTCCAGGATGAGGCCCTGAGCCGAAGGCAGATACTCAACCACTAAGCCACCCAGGCGTCCCAGCTTCCAACTCTTGATCTCAGGATGGTGAGATGGAGCTCTGTGTAGGGCTCTGTACTCAGTGTGGCACCTGCTTAGGAGTCTCCCTCAGCCTCTGCTCCCCCCACCCCCCTCAACTCTCTCTTAAAAAAAAAAAAAGTTGAGATACTTGGGTGGCTCAGTGGTTGAGCATCTGCTTAGGTCGTGATCCCAGTCCAGGGATGGAGTCCCGCATTGGGTTCTCTGTGAGGAGCCTGCTTCTCCCTCTGCCTTTGTCTCTGCCTCTCTCCGTGTCTCTCATGAATAAATAAAGAAAATCTTTAAAAAATAAAAAAAGTTAGGATTATGATCAGTACCAACTATGCCACTTGATAGCCATGTGATCCATAATCGGTAAATTTTTAATCTCTGAAACTCCATTTCCTCGTTTGTAGGATTAAAATAACAATGTCCATCCGATTATTTCACAAATATTTTGTGGAAAGCTACTATGAAGTAAGAATTATGTTAGGTGATAGAAGGAAGAATCCATCAAGTACTACCTTACTACGTGCTAGGTTGGAAATGGGTAGGAAAGGAGCAGAACACTAAGTGGCAGCTATCGTAAACTGAGAGCATAGAGTGTTTCTAAAAGGGACTGGTCAACTACGTCAATTGAGAAGTTCAGTAAGATGAGGACAGAAAAATGTCTTTAGCAATCTGGGGGTAGTTAGCAAACTTGATCATTTTGAGGTGTTTCATAGGAATGGCAGCTTCAAAAGCTAGACTGAAGTCCCTCGAGGAGGGAATGAGAGGCCAGGATGTCAAGCGGTTTGTGCCAGGTACCAAGTACCGGAGAAGGAAGGTAGCTTGGGAGGTGGGTTGCTGTCTTTAGGGTGGGACACAGGTCAGGGAGCTTGAATGCTGAAGAGGGGGAGGCGAGGGGGATCATGGTGCAGGAACAGGGGGAGGCAGTTCTTGGAAGACCATGAACCGGTGCAGGCGCAGGGCAAATCCTTGACAGCAAGAAGCACCTTCCATCCACTGTGACAAGACAGAAAACTGAGCATGGCTGCAGGTGCAAGTAGGATTTGAGACTTGGTAGAGGAAGACTTGATTTTCCTCTGATACTTCTTTTCCTGAATGAAATAGGCGGTGAAACTACCCATGAGAAGTGAGGAGAGGAGGGGAATAAGGAGGTAGGAGTGGAGGTAGGAGGGCAAAGTTGCTAGGATGCCAAGCCGTTTGCCTGCTACAGATTTGTGGTGGACACCTCCAAGGGAAACCAGTTGGGCCGGTTCTTGCATGCTCTCGGTCAGATTTAGCTACTTGAATTCAGGCTATGAATATGCATTTCCTTCAGAAAGGGGTTTTCCCAGATGAGTAAGAGAGGGAAAGGAATTTGTGTGTGTGTGTGTGTGTGTAAGGTTTTATTTATTCATTCATGAGAGACACAGAGAGAGAGGCAGAGACCCAGGCAGAGGGAGAAGCAGGCTCCCTTCAGGGAGCCCGATGGGGACTCGATCCCAGGGTCACGACCTGAGCCGGAGGAAGGCCCTCAACCACTGAGCCAACCTGGGGTCCCAAATTTGCATATGTTATAAGGGAGCAATTATAACGATGGGCTCTTAAACAGCGGAGAAGGGAGTCATGGAGATTTCAGTGAGATTCTACAGGTGCTGAGCGCTAAGGACAGGAAATGATTGCATAAAAAGTAACCTGCTTGAGTCCAAGATTTCAGAGGTCACACTAATATTGATGATGGCAAAGTCTACAGGATGCACCAAGGAGTAGATGACCAAGGTGGACTAGAGGAAAATATCACCAGACGTGAGTTGGTCAAGGAATCAGGAAGCTAGAGTACAGACTTCCTAGTTTTCATGAGAGCACAGGACTGTAAAAATGTCACAGAAGCTGAAACCATACAAAGTGATCTTATTTATTTATTTATTTATTTATTTATTTATTTATTTATTTATTTACAAAGTGATCTTAATAGAGAAAAACTAATTGCCCAATCAATGACTTTACAAAAACTTTTGGTAAAACATTTACAACTACCTTACTGCCAATTATAAACGAGAATTTTTAAATTGTAAAACTAATATTTAGCACACTGTAATTTAAAACAAGAAACACCGAGATTTAGTGCTTTATTTCTTTGTAAAACGTTTACCAAGGGTAGTTTGAACAGCGTTTGCCTTTTCTGTGCCTTGATAAATTGTCATACTCCTTCCAACACTTTATGTTTTGCATTTTCAGTGTTGTAAAATATCTCCGAGTGTCTCTAAAGTGAAGTAACAATCAGTGCGGCTTCCTGGGGACATCTTTATCCTTTGTCACAACCACCTGCTCTAAGGGTTCTGTGCAATCCGGGTGGAGGTTTCCCAGCAGCACCCCGGGCCGGCGCAGCAGCTGAACCAGGGCGCAACGCTAACCAACTCTGTGGGCCTCCAAAAGGACGCAACCCGACTTAACTGCAGTAAAAGCTTGCTTTTCAGTCTCTCTGTAATTACAGCTTCCTTTTGACGGGACAACGTCAACACTTAGCCCAAATGCCAGCCGGACCCACTGGAATGTTATTATTATTAGAGTCTTCTATCCTGAGTGGAAGGAAGTCTTCACCACAGCAGTTTTCTGTTCCTAGAGCAGTTTAACCTAAAAGACAGTGATCCAGTGTTACCAGACTTAGATCTCATCCTCTCGGCTTTACTCATCACTTTCAAATTTCCTAATCAGGTCCAATTTCGTTTTCAGCCCCTCATTTCTTATTTCTTTGGATGCACTTTCAACTGTTTGGAAATGTTGTTAAACAAAATTCTAATGTAAAATGAAATTTTCTTTTGATGGTCCCCTTCTGTAAAACGTCCGTCATGTGGGTCTGTCACTGGGAGACAAGGAGGCACTGTGCTGTGGCCCGAAGCGCTGACTAGCTGGGGAGCAGTGACCAGTCCCTGACGGGCCTTGCGCGGGGGACCGGGATGCAGGTCGGCCACCTGCACCTGTGCTGCGCAGGCTGGGCACTGGCGGGAGGTCTGGGGGTTGTTCTTCCTCCGTCAGTGTCACTGCCGCAGGGTCATTGACATCTGCACCCGGCCGCTGGCGGGGTGGGGTTCCTTACCTGGACTGTGGCGATCAGAGTCGGGCGTCCCAGCACCAGGCCACAGGGGACTGCCTTACCGCAGGCCATCTGTGTGGACAGCGATGTCCCGCAGAGCGGGCTCGGGGCAGTGGAGAGGAGGGGGGACTCCCCCGCTCACATCCTCAAGGTAGAGAAGGAGCACGGTGGGCTGCGGGCAGCGGCGGTGCCGGCGGGGAGGCCGCGTGGGTAGCTCCCCCTGTCCCTGGCTCCCAGGCGTTAGGCCTGGATGGGAAGGCAGCTTTTGCTCCAGGGGCAACGGTGGGGCTGACCCCTCCCGGGCAGAGCCGCCAGGGTGGCCCGGCTGTGCCCTTCTGGAGCCCGGCCCCGCACCCTTACCTGGGCTCTCGGGCCTACCCGGCTTGCTGGGCCCTGGAGATGGGACGATGGCCGACGCCATCTGAGCCCTTGTCGCTGCCTCCAGGGCCGACAGAGCAGGCGGGAAGGAAGGTGGGGCGGTGGAGACCCGTGCATCACCACCGCCCGAGACACGATTTGCTTCTGTCCGTGAGTCCCCTTGACAAGTCATTTCTCCTCACGCTGGCCTTGGCCTTTTATCTATTTGTTTATAGTTTTGGGTTTTCTGTCTTCTCCTCCTTTGGAGGCTGCTCTGCACATGCCCTCCTGTCACACGGGTCTCCGCCTTGGGAGCAAGAGCAAGGCAGGCCCTAGTCAAGGGAAGACTCCAACCCCCACTGGAGTCCTGAGTTGTTCCCGGAGCCTGTTCGGAGGAGGCTGGAGAAGCCGACAGTGGGCAGTGGGGTCCGGTTGCGCTGCTCTCTGACCAGACCACGACCGATGCTCCGGCTGGGGTGCCGGGAGGGGTCTGGGGCTCGGGCTGCGGCCTGCTGCGGCCTGCTGTGGCCTCCTGCGGCCTCCTGCGGCCTGCTGTGGCCTCCTGCGGCCTGCCTGCTGTGGCCTCCTGCGGCCTGCTGTGGCCTCCTGCGGCCTCCTGCATCCTGCTGTGGCCTCCTGCGTCCTGCTGTGGCCTCCTGCGGCCTGCTGTGGCCTCCTGCGGCCTCCTGCATCCGCTGTGGCCTCCTGCGCCTGCTGTGGCCTCCTGCCCTGCTGTGGCCTGCCTGCTGGCCTCCTGCGTCCTGCTGTGGCCTCCTGCGGCCTGCTGTGGCCTCCTGCCCTGCTTGGCCTCCTGCGTCCTGCTGTGGCCTCCTGCGGCCTCCTGCTGTGGCCTCCTGCGTCCTGCTGTGGCCTCCTGCGTCCTGCTGCAGCCTCCTGCTGTGGCCTCCTGCGTCCTGCTGCGGCCTCCTGCAGCCTGCTGTGGCCTCCTGAGGCCTCCTGCGTCCTGCTGTGGCCTCCTGCGGCCTCCTGCTGTGGCCTCCTGCGTCCTGCTGTGGCCTCCTGCGTCGCTCGCTGCTGCGGCCCTCCCTCCTGCTGTGGCCTCCTGCGTCCTGCTGTGGCCTCCTGCATCCTGCTGCGGCCTCCTGCTGTGGCCTCCTGCGTCCTGCTGCGGCCTCCTGCAGCCTGCTGCCGGCGGCCCGGGCACAGGCCTGGCTAACCGTAGGGCCGCGCGACGGAAGGACAAAGGAGGGCAGCGGAGGCGGCCCGAGAGTGGAGGCCGAGCGGACGGCAGCAGAGCCGCGCACAGGCCCGGGGCCCCCGAGGAGTCGCACCCGACGGTGGGCAGAGGAGCCCAGCTCGGAAGGCCGCGGAGGAGAGCCGAGGCCGGGCCGGCGGGCACAGGACGGCCGCCCCGCCACGGTCCGCGGGAAGCCGAGGATCCCCAGGCTCTCGCGGCGACGCAAGCCCTTGGCGGCGGATGGAGCCCGCACGCGGCACCTCCCCGGATGCGGCGCCCCCGGGGGCGGCTCCACCCCGCCCCCCCCCCAGGAGGGCCCCGGGGGGCGTGGAGGGGCGGGGCTGCGGACGGGGAGGCGGTTAGTTGGTCGCGGGCGGGGAAGGGGGAGCGAGGGCAGAGCGGAGGGGACCCCGAGGCCCAGCGCAGGCGGCGGCAGGCACGGCGCGGCCGCGGGAAGGCCCGGGGCTCCAGGGAGGCCGCCGAGCGCCTGGTTGTTCATCACCCCCGTGAGTCACACCCTGGCCTCAGGAGGAAGGTAGGATCCCACTTTACAAACAGCCCCTGAGGCCGTGAGCTCTACCCCCAGGGAATCCGGCAAGTCAGGAAGGTCGCGCTTCCCCCGAGCACGGGCTTGTCATCCCTTCTGTGGGCCCGGTTCACGGCTGTGAACTCCCAAATTGAAGACAATTTAGGCGACGAAGATCATGTCTGCACTGTGTGGCCCAGAACTGCTAGTCCTGGATCACCCGACTCATTACGACACGTTAGTGAGAAGAACACTCTCCTCTACCTTTCAACCTCCCAGTGTTGGCTGTTTTTACCATCCTTTAAGCTGGACAAGGTTTTTCAAGTTCCAATTACGACCCTGAAAGTCACATGATCACAGGCTGGTCGCCTCCTCCAAGCCCACCCCCCCCTTCCCTGCTGGAAGAGCTCTGAAGGTGGGGTGTGCTCCTGCCACACGGCCCTGTGCTCCCAGGGGGATGCAGCCCCAGCCCCAAGGAGCCAACCATGACCCGTCTATTCATAGACAGGAACATGGTTAAATTATATCAAGTTAAACAAATGTATGTAAAAGTCTGGGGGAGAGAGGGAGAGGGACAGAAAAAACCTGGATCCTTGGCCAAATGCCTGGAAAATAAAATTTTCCTTTTTTTAAAAACTGGATTAGGTTTTTCAGTTCTTGCATCTAAAAAGAGCTTAACTGACAGATTAATGAAAAGAATGACCACACACTCTTAAGCATTTTGATTGGTTAGGAATGTGTTAAATACATGAATATCTTTCTTTCAAACTTGGTAATTTCTTTCCAAAGAATGCCTACAATGTATTAAAATACCATTCAAAAATACAACTGCCTTTAGAAGTTTTCCAATATTTGTTTTAACATTTAATGTGATACTTTACAAGGCTGTCATAATGGCTACATTTCCTGTAGCAAATTCTAATTGTCTCAAATCTAAAAAGAATAAATAATTTCCCTATATTAGAATCTACTTAGAAGTATTTATATACTCATACCTGTCTATCCCCGTATGTATCATTCGTACTTTTATACTTTGGGGTAATAGAACTTTAATAAATATGATAACAAGTAAGTATGAAGGTAAAAATCTGGCCTTGTTTGTTGTTACAAGAATACAATGAAGCTTCAACTGGAGGCAAAAGTATAGCTAATCAAAGCTACTGTGAAGTTGGCAAATCTTCAAAGTCACATATCTCGGAAAAGTTGAGAAGCAAGCACTCCCGTACATGTAATGAGCTATTCACAATAGAGAGCAAACACCAGGGCCAAGGCAACATACGTTTCCGTTTCATGTTTTGCCCCAACCCAGCTGTCCCATGCAACATCCCAGATCCATCTGCTGGCGATCTGTGACACACAAATTTCAAAAGACCAACATTAGGTAGAACATGTTAAGAAGTAATCGTCAAGTTTATACGGTATCTTAGATAGTGATATTTTTAAAGTAATTTGTCCAATTTCCCTTTTCCAGAAGGGGCCCCTCGTCTCTTCCTGGAACGGTCCTTATCTGACATGGAGACTGGACCTTAGCAGAGCATCTGGTTGGGGGATGAAAGCCCTCTGTAACTGGGTTAAGAGTTCTGCATACATATAACTCTGCTGTGTTATAGTTCATGGTATGGAATTTTCCTTTCCATCCTTAAGGTATTTTCAAGGGAAAGTTTATTAGAACATTATTTTGAAATAAAGAAATGGCATTGATTATACAAGCAGGCTGTTAGAGAAAATTCTGAATCTTTTGCTTTGCTCACAAAGCCACACGATTTGACTACAGCCTACTTTTCCGTGGTGGATCCACATGGCCACAAACTTTCATGGCTTCTATATCTCCACCCCTTGAGTATGAATTAACCTTGGGACTTGCTCTGAGCAAAAGAATGTGACAGTGTAACTTCCAAGCAAGGCTGTCAGAGGTCGTCTGCTCCTACCTGCTCAGAACATTTCCCACATAAGGAAACCCACTCAGCCAGTACGGTACCGTTGTGCAATATACATCCTACCCGTGTGCGCTACCCAAATATACCACAAGCACACAGGTTATTAACCAAGCACACAGGGCCCCCATGGCCTTGGTGTCTTTGCTCTCCCGTGTTCTCTGGGGGCAGGTCTCCAGCACAGCTGGTTTCTTCTTGATGTTCAGCTTACCAGAGGGCCTTTCCCATCTCCAGACAGGCCCAGCAGTCATTCTGCCACTCTGGCACATTGTCCTACCTTACCCTCCTCCGTGGAGCACCTGCCACCAACTAGACCTATGTGCCAGTGCTCTCCTCTCCAGGATCCAAGGCACCTCTGTGTCACTGACTCTCATGTGGCTACAACTCCTCTGCCTGCTTCCACGTGCACGTCACTCATCCACAAAGACTGCAAACTGTGTCCAGCTGCCACACATTCACGGGCAGCTCACAAGAACCTCATGTGGCCTAGTGGTGTGCAATCATATTTGTAAATGACAACAATCCCCTTGCTGCTTACTGAGGACTCTGTGCCAGAGACCACGTAGAGGGCTTTCTTACCATCTCATTTGATCCTCAGGGCAGCTGCAGCCAGGGTCACCATCCCCATCTTACAGATGAAAAGAGCGATTAGGCCCAGGCTGCAGGCTCTGACTGCAGCTGCCAATGTTTGTATCTAGGCCAACCAGACTCGAACACGGGCTGTCCCACCATCCACCCTATCCCATTTCTTAAACTCCGACCTGCGTTGTTTTCTGCCCTCAAGTATGGTAAAAAATCCTGGAGAATCACGGTCTGCGTCTCTCCATTTTCTGTATTTTTCTCAGTACCTAATTCCCATTAGTCCTCAAAATAAATTTACTTGTTAATTATCAAATGACACTAAATTGTCAAAATTAGTATGATCAAGGAACAGGATAGCTACAGTTTAATAAATTATCAGTAGAAAATCGCCATCTCTGGGTTAGTACTTTTCAAATAATAGGTAGTGAAGGCAGACAGAGCTAACAAAATTGTCATTTGTCAGAGAGGCACCTTAGAACCTTGAAGTGCCCTGCAGGTGGATGGCACAGGAAGGGTCAGGTCACTAGAGGGGAGAACTCAGAGAACTGGCTGATAGATGCTGGGTCAGTGTGGTACTCACATTTATAGCCTGACCAGTCTTTTGAATAAATAATACTTTTATAATGAACTTGTAACGGTGGTACCCAAATTCTTTCACTGCTGACAAGATGCGGTCTGCTAATTCAAGTGACAAACGAGAGAAGACTTTATCATCATATTTGACATCCTTAAGACTCTCCTTTAAAAGAACAGGAAAAACATTTTAATTTTCAAACCAAATATTTTCTACATAAAAACTCAAGAAAACATGTGTCTACATAATACATATAACTTAAAAAAAATACATGCATTCCCAACCAAATAACATTAAATGACTGTTTTACCAATCGATTTCAATAATAATATTGAATAAAGTTTATTTTGGCTTTTAGCTACATTCAATTTCTCTTCATTACCAACCCTTAACCTGTAAGTTTTCCTTAACTAGATCACCCCATCATACAGCTGTTAGGGAGACATGGGAATTTTAAAAGAATGCTTCTGGGGATTCTTAAGTAGATGAAGGAAATTTTTCTATAATTTCCATATTAGCTAAAACTCAGACTTGAGTTTTCCTAAAGCCTGAATTTCCTGGACAGGAGTTTGTATCATGTGACTCCTGTCTTCCCCAGTCTTCCTGAATTAAGCCACTTCTCTAGCCCTCTCCCCATGGCTTTGCACTCTACTGCTCTCTCTCAGGTCTCCAGGTGGACGCCGAGGAGATCCCAGGTTTTCCACCACATCGGCTGTGGATTAATTACAGCTGGGGAGACACATGTGCATTATGAAGTACGAAGCTTTCCCACAGCCCATAAGCAGACTGGGCCACCTAGTGAGCTAGCCAACTGCAAGTGCCTTTGACTGACCTGGGCAGTGATGAATGAACCATGGTTCTGGGTCCTGTGATAACAAAGGAGCTCCTACTAGCTAAATTTATAGGCATGTAACAGCAAATATGTTGCTCTTTTTTTGTTTGTTTGTTTCCCTTCTAGAATGGTGCTGGATCTAAAACTCTGCCTAGAAGCATTTGTTTCCCTCAGGCATTGGCTATGGTTCGTCATCTTTCAGGCACTTAGCAACATCTAATCTCTCTTCTGAATCTGCCTAACAGACCTCAGGTTTCCCCAACGTGCTCTTTTTTTTTTTTTTTTAAAGATTTATTTATTCATGAAAGACAGACAGAGAGAGAGTTAGAGACACAGGTAGAGGGAGAAGCAGGCTCCATGCAGGAAGCCCGATGTGGGACCCAATCTCGGAACTCCAGGATTATACCCCCTGCCAAAGGCAGACACTCAACCACTGAGCCACCCAGGGGGCCCACTCCCACTTGCTCTTATTTAACAAACAATGAGTGCTTGCTATAGGAAGATTCCCTCCAGCCCCAGCAGTGTATACTATTTCTCTAGAACTATGTCGAATGTTCTGTGAACCCAAGGGAAAAGCCCTGCCCTCTTGATGACATCTAGCTATCCACCTTCATATCCAATCAGCTGTTCCAGGCGCCGTCTTGCTCAACACAATTCTGTAAATTATGGCATGTAGATACAATTTGAAATCCTATTATGTTCAATAAATCTGAACTCAGTCTATGTGGTAAGGCCAAGCAAGAGACACACCAAAATGTGTACTCTCATGTCACATTATGTCTGCTGTTAATGTTTAGATAAGAAGGTAATCAGTAATTACTTTATTGTATTAAATTGAGTTGACATTCTTTATTTCCTTAAATCATACTATCATTGCCAAATATCATCCAACAATTAATAGTTCAGCTTAGAAATGTACTTGTCGGGATCCCTGGGTGGCGCAGCGGTTTAGCGCCTGCCTTTGGCCCAGGGCGCGATCCTGGAGACCCGGGATCGAATCCCACGTCGGGCTCCCGGTGCATGGAGCCTGCTTCTCCCTCTGCCTGTGTCTCTGCCTCTCTCTCTCTATCTGTGTGATTGTCATAAAATAAAATAAAAATTAAAAAAAAAAAAAAGAAATGTACTTGTCTATGGTAGTTGAGGGAGGCTAGAGTAGCCCTCTTAAATATTCTTCTGTATTAATAAAAGTTAATTCATTTAGATAATTAACTTTGATATGATTAAAAAGCTATT